TATAAGTGGAAATAACACTTTATTCATTGGACTTTTTTGGCAATTACATGAGATAAGACATGAAACACTCTTAAAACCATATCGATACATAAAAAAAAATACCCAATAAAGGGTCGATTTTGCATCACTCCGGAAATAGAAGCCTAAACTAAGATCTGAAACAATTCACTGGTTTTGCCTTTGAGGTCTGATGTGCTAGTCCTGCAGAGCCTCAAGTTCAGTTTCAGTGTTTGAGCTTTGGAGCTGTGGCCCTGGATGGTGTAGAATCTGTCTACACCTGAGCCAACCCAGAACTGAGTTTTTCCAAAAGGACTGTATCATTTGTGGCCGATAGGTTTGATTTGATCTGCTTGAATGAATCCCTTTGCAGGGGAAAGGCTTACATGTTGGATCCAAAGTACCCAGGAGCCCAAATAAGTGGACGTTACTGAGAAGCGAGAGAAGATAGCCACATGGAAGAGACCCCATTCATGGTCTCTGTCCAGAGGAGCGGACAGCTGAAACACCCCTCCATATCCACACACAGAGAGTCAGTGGGCAGGCATCAGAGGTGCCCTCCCCTGCTTCTTCTCAGTTGTCTTCCAGAGGATGGCTGCAAGCACTACAGGGCAGAAGGAGGGACCACTGCTGGTAGCAAAGGCCTCGGGCAGGAACTGAAAGGACACTCGGGTCTCCTGCCCAGAGGGCTTTAGGATGCATACACTAGAGAGGGCACGCCCCCTTTCACTAAGTGACCTAGTCATCTTCTATGCAAAATGGCCCAAACTCAGCAACAAACTCCATCCCATTTCAGTTCATTTGACTCCCCTGTAGAGGAGAGTGGAGGGAGGCTTTGAGGGTGGGCTATGCCTGGGGTCAGGAAAGTGATGGCTGGAAAGTTAGGGTTTATCCACACCCCGTGTCCCCTTGGCTGGAATGCTAGTCTTTGTATCCCTCCTAACTCATGCTCCTAGATACGTAAAATTCAGAAATGTCCTTGAGAACCAAGGATTGGGATTTGACCAACCATGCCTTCTGAACCCACTGACTTAGCGCAGTCTGTCTCCGACACTGTCATAAACAGAATGCTTCCAAAAGCACAGAAACCCACACAAACTTCCCTAAACCTCTAACTACGTTCTTCACAATCCTGCTGGCAAGTTAGAGCCTCTGAGTACAAAAGGAAGACAGAAAGGTGGAAGAAGGAAGGAAGAGAAAGGGAAGGAAGGAAAGGAAGAAAGAAGGGAGGGAGGGAAGGCAAGAGGGAACAATCAAAAATCCATAGGGGTGGTGGCTGGTCATTGGTCACTATTCTGGGCAGTTCCAGTGCATGGGCAGGGTAGAAAGTCATGGTGCTAATCAGACACACTTACTAAACTTGCATGTAGTGTTCTTCCTTTGATAAGTACCAGAAATTTTACTGCAGATTGGAAGAAAATAAACATGACCATTCTTCTCAGGATACATATAGTCTGACACTCAAACTCCCAAACCATGAGGCTATTTGACTCACCTATGGTGGACTCCTTCACTTTAGAGTTAAACATGAAGAAGAGAGAAAAATTGCCAAATATCCAAGAGTTCTGGAAGCTGTCAAGTGTTAAATATTAACAAGAGGGAATTAAAATTCAAATCTACTCTGATTCAAAAAGATACACACAAGGAGATATTCCAAAGCTAGATTGCAGTATGCAGAATGGATAAAGAAAATTGTCAGGAGCTCAGCCCTAGTGCAGGAGAACTGTTGAGAAGCCCAGCACACCAGGAGATCTTTCCAGAAGAACTGTCCACATGTTCAAGATGCACAAGCAGCTTGAGGTTTGCACTGGTCCCAGGTTAAGAATTCCCAACTTAGAATTCATTGCCACCTCAAAGTAAGGACATTCAACTCCCATAAGACCTGCTGCTGTTACATTTTGGCCAAGTGAACGAGTGAAGGGACAAAAGGAGACTGAACTTTGAAGCCACCACATGAGGTTACAGAAAGAGGAAAGCTGGGCGATGTGCAAAGCACTCATTGATGGGGGAAGGCGTCATGCGTGGGTCTTGTGGGTCAGAAAGACGGATGAAGATGGTTAGAAGGTATCTATGATATGTTGAACTCCACAGGCAGCATGGGAAGGTAGAGGAGACAGAAGTCCATTCTCCAGGCAGACACAGGTTTTAATTTATGTCTAGGGCACGTGGGAGGGAACAGGGGTGCAGAATGATAGAGGGTATGAAGGTGGGGCCCGTTATTTGTGCAGGGGGGTGACTGCTCTGTAGGAGTTCCCATGGATTTCAGCTCAACTGTTAGTAATTCTATTCTTTCCTTTTGACTAAAAATAGAGGGTGTGGCTCAGCACAGCCAGTATAGACATGATCTGATGTCATCAATGAGAGAACAACCCGAACTTCTGGTGAATTGCACATGTTCCCAGCATCTTAATCCCAGATGCCTTCCAGTTGTGGATGAAAATGCCACTTACAGCATTAAGACTGTGTGTGGACTGTGAGAAGAAGGGTGGGAGGTACATACTTACCTATACACATACGTGTAATGAAATACTATGCAGCCTTTAAAAGGGATAGCCTGCCCTTTGCCTCACGTGGAGGAGGCTGGAGCACGTTATGCTAAGGAAATATGTTGACGCAGAAAGGCAAATATCACACGATCTCACTAATAGGGGACCTATGAAATGAGGATATGGAAGACTGAGGGGTGAGGGTGGTGGCAGCAGCTGTGCTGGGTGGCGGGTGTAGATGTCTAATGTCTAGCATGAAGACTATAGCCACTACCTATATTTGGGATTCCTACCACAAAAGTAAACCAAAAAATGAGCCTTGATGTGATATGAAAGACTTGTTAGTTTACATACCATAGTGATCATTTTATCATCTATCCATCCATCCTTCCTTCCATCCATCCTTCCATCCACCCACCCATCTATCCATGTATCCATCCATCCATCCATCCTTCCATCCATTCATCTTCCTATCATCTACGTATCTACCCATCTATCCCATAACATGTGGCATACCTTAACTATCTTATATTATTTTTAAGTTTTATTTTAAAGAAGGAAACTAAAAGAAAATGTGATTGGACATATCCAGTTTCATCCATGAAGCAAAATATGAAACAAAGCTAACATGGGGTGGGGGGAGTGGGAAATGCCCGCAGTGGCTGAGGTGATTTGTCTCCGGTTCTTATCACAGCTGTGGGTCTCAGAGTTAAACTTCTTCCCTTTAGAAGCCAACAGAAAATGAGCCCTGCAGGATACAAAAGCCAGGTCCCCCCCAAGCCCCCAACTCATTGTTCACCTCGATGGCAGCCATTACTGTTCCCTGGGAGAGATGACTGGTTGCACGGGGGGACTCTGCAGCAGAGGCCTTCTCTCCCACGTCTGATGTCATTACTTTGTCCTCTTCTTCCTCCTCCTCCTCTCTCTCCACGCCTTCCATGCCTTTCTTCTTCTTCCTCCTGCTGCTTCTTTCTCCTCCTCCTCCTCTTTCTCTCTCCTCCTCCTCCCACTCCCCCTTCTTCCTCTTCTTCCTCCTTCTTTAGCTCCTCTCTCCTCCTCCTTTTCATCCTCTTCCTTGTCCTCCCCTCCTCCCCTTCCCCCTTCTTGCTCTTTCTTCTCTTCTTTCTCTCCTTTCCCCTCTTCCTCCTTCTCCTCCCTGCCCCCTCCTGACCTTGCATCCCACTGGCACTCAGTTTTCCATCTCAGCCCTTGCACTGAGAAGGAAGGAAGCTCACTGGGAAGCTGAGCATCTTATTTTCATGCACTGGATGGTGTGATAAACATGTTTTCCACACTTTGTCCCCTACAAAAGGATGCAGTTACTACTCCTAAATGTCAGAGTTCAATGGCACTTTTGCAAAGATGCAAACTTTGAGTTTTCAGAAAGGGACCTGACAGATGAAGCCATTTAAAAAGCACCTCTGGTCAGCCCCTCTGTGGACCCTCACCTACACTGTCTTCATCTCCTCTCAGGAGTGGCTGATATAAAGCCATTTTATTGTTTACCTGTCACACAGAAGAGCAGACGTTATATAAAAACTGACTATAAAGAGGCAGAAGAGGTAGCTAGCTAATGAAAAGCACATGAACTGCTGCTAAAACAGTCTTGGTAATTGAACTTGGATTTGTTTCCAGGTGTATGCCTACAGGAACTGAGACATCTAAACACCAGTATTTATCACAATTACTCCTGTCTCCAGGTAACATCTGGCAACTTCTCCATGCTCATCGGCACGGGTCCCTTGCCTCTGAGCTCTTCCTCACGCACCGCTTGTGTTTCCCTGAAATTCTATCTCACATCAACTTGACCTGGCCATGGCCTTGGAGAATCCAGCAAAGCAGCGGAGAGTCTGCTGAGTGGAAGGGGAAGAGGTTTCCTGGATGGAGAGTGGGGCAGAAAGCATTTAGGAAGCACAGCCACTGTCTGCCATCAGTTCCCACAACACCTGCCCTGGGGATGCTGAGACATGAGAAAAAAAGTTGGAATTGGGACTAATGAGTGACAGTAGCTGAGCTGAGTTGGGGACAGTGCTACAAAGCACACGACCACGGTTTGTCCTTTTCTTAAATTTTATTTTGTGGTACTGGGCTTTGCATTCAGGGATTCACACTTGCTAGGCAGGTGCTCTACGACCTGAGTCAAGCCTCCAGCTCCTTTTTGCTTTATTTTTCAGATAGGGTCTCTCAGTTATTGCCCAGGGGTAACCTCAGACTGTGATCCTCTTATGATGCCTTGCACACAGCTGGGATTACAGATGCAAGCCACCATCACAATTTTGTTAGTTGAGATGAGTTCTTGCTAACTTTTTGACAGGGCTGGCCTCAAACTGTGATTCTCGTGATCTCTGTCTCCTGAGTAGCTGGGATTACAGGTGTGAGTCACCACACCTGGCTCTGGTTTGTTTTTCTTGAAATGCTCTTCACAGGGAGGACGTGAACACAGAAAGGTGCATGTGGAGATACTTAGGTGCTGTGCTCAGTCCCTCACAGCTGCTCTCCTCTGCTCCCCCTCCCCAGTGCGGACGGCACCTCCTATGAAGTTATGCAGATTGACATTGAGATCGAAGAGCCCAGCGAGCTGCCAGCCACACAGCTTGTCACGTGGCAGGTGGAGTACCCAGGAGAGGTCACATCGGACCTGGGCGTGTCCAAGATCTACGTGAGCCAGAAGGACTTGCTCGCACTCATCCCCCTGGCCATGGTAAGAGAGAACTCGGGGAAGGGAAGGTCCCAGTGTGAACCAAGCTTGGGGGGATGTCTGTGAGAAGAACCAGGATGAGGTCAGAGCTGTGAAGTTAACGCCTGAAGCCACCCCTAAAAATATGTGAGGATGTATTTTTTCTAAATGATATTCTTAAGATATGATTTAGAAAATGAACTCCAGGTATGAGGTATGGGCTGTCTCTTTATGAAAGTGATTGATGGTTTGATAAATGGGCGTCATACGATTCAACTGAGGATTTCACACACATGCAAACTGTGGCGGAACGTTTGGTGCAAGTGTGTGACGTGCCTTGTGGCTGTGCCTGGTTGTAAGGTTGGCTGAGAAGTCTGCTCTTCAACCTAACACTTAGATTCTGTTACAAGGAAAGAAGAGAATGGCTTTGGCAAGGCAACGAGTAATAGCTGAGCACTCCTTCTTTCCCAATGGGGAAACTGAGGCTCATGGAGGCTGCTTATCTGGGTGCTGAGTCTTCTCCATCCTCTGTTGGTCTTTTGGAGCATCCAGTAGAGCACAGTAACACAGCCAAAGCACTGTCCCCTCCCAGGAACCATAGGCCATGCTTCATGTGGGCTTCAACATAACTATCATCTATCTATTTATCTATCTATCATCATCTGTGTGCATCATTTATCTATCTATCCATCCGTCATCTATCCATCTATTTATTATCTCTCTCTCTCCCTCTCTAGCTCTTTGACAGTAGTAGGATTTAAACTCAGAGCATCTCCCTTTGAGCCACACCTTCAGCCTTTTTGCTCTGGTCCTTTTGGAGGTAGGATCTCACTTTTTGCCCAGCTGTCCTGGGCCTCAGTCCTCTTATTTATGCTTCCACTATAGCTGGGGCCTCAGATGTGCACCACCATGCCCCGCCTTTTCATTGAGACAGCATCGCTCAAACTTTTTGCCTGGGCTGGCCATAACCTCCATCCTCCTGACCGCTGCCTTCTGAACAGCTAGGATTACAGGCGTGAGCCACTAGCATCCAACTGAGCCTCAACTTCTTCATCTACAAAGGATAGAAATGTCGGGGTTGTTGTAACAATAAAACAGCAGCTGCGACTGGGGATGGGTTCAGAGGAAGAGCGCTTTCCTAGCACACACAGGGCCCTGCGTTCCATCTCTGGCACCATAACATAAAATAATAAAAAATAAAACAGCAACTGAAGAGTACTTAAAAGGATGCCAGCCTGGAGCAGACATGTAATAAAGTTAGCTATTATTCTGATCGCTTTAGTTACAGAACGTGGAGTGTCAACAGCACAATGACGCTGTAAGCTCGCGCAGGAAGGGGCTTGTTCTCAGCCCCACATGTCGCATCCCAGGGCCAGCCAGTGGGCAGATGTCATTGGCCTTGAACTGGGTTGGATGAACTGGATTCACACACTTTGCAGCTGATGAGTTCCCAGTAATGCTCTCTGAGCATCTACTTCTGGACCCAAGAGGACAGTCTGAACTCCAAAACCCCATCTTGTGTATCTTGTATCTGGGGTGCGCTGAGTCCCCCTTTCTGGGTGGGTTGGTAAAAGAGTATCTTCCATGGGGCCTGGGGGTGGTGGTTACCATCATTAAGTCACTTTGCTTTTGTTCGTTTTAGCTCCTCATGTGATACTTGTCAAAGAAACAGAAGGAAGGCCTGCTCGCCTGGGCCCTGCTGAGGAGCCAGGGTCACAGGTAGAACTGGGGTCAGAGATGAAGCTGGCAGGGTGTGGAAGGAGTGCCGTCACCTGAGGCAGAGGAAGCCACTGCCAGGTGACCAGCCAAGGAATCACGTTTGTGATTTTAGAAAACCACTCTGACTATACATGGGGAATGAACTTGAGGGTCAAAGTGGAGAAGGATCAGAGAGTCAGGGAAGTGTGCTCAGGCTGCTGTAAAAAAAGGCCTTATAACACTGAGCTGGAGGGTTTGGTGTCCCTTGTGTCTAATTTCTTGCCTGAACCTGAGCAGTGGGAAGACTGAGGTGGCTCCAGGGGCCCAGGGTGCAGCCTCCTATGGTTGAGTCACGCCAGACATACCATTCTTGTACCTGTGACCCCAAATTAATAAGAAGCATGTCCACCTTGCAGACAACAGGAAGAGACAAGGGATAGAGGGGTGGACGTGATCTTCTGCTGAGTACACCATGTTTGCTTTTACCCCATCAGCCAGGAACTCAGCCCACATCTAGCTGCAAGGGAGGCTGTGTGTCCATCTAGACGCATTGGCTAGTGGAACAGGGAAGCAGGCCCCTGGGGAAGCCCAGACCCCATCCTGACTGCCCAGAGGGCCAAGGCCACAGTAGTGAGAAAGTAGAGAGGGAAGCCATTTGGGTACACATCCTTGTGCTTAGATGTAGGGCCTTCCCCAGCCTGGGAAATTGGGGGACACAGGAAGGAAAGGTGAATATGTGAATAAACCATGAATCCTACCATTCTGTGCAAAGTTCCCCGCAGAGCTCTGACAACACCCTACAAACCTAAAACTTAAGAATTCTTTCTACTGTAAAATATATTCTGGTTTGTGTTTTTGTACAGAAATGTCTGCACACATCTCTGATGGACTCTTTGAGATAAAGTTTTAGAATGAGATTTTAATCCAAGGATAAGAATCAAAGGTTATGCAATACTGTAATTTTTTTTAATGGTTCCTAAATTGCCTTTTCGGAAAGCTTAACTAATTTACAATCCCACCTGCTGTGTATACCTTCACCACTACACCACACCTTCACCACTACAGAATATGAAAATTTTAAAAATAGAAAATTAATCAAGCAAAAATTATCTATCAGTGTTGCCTTCATCTGCCCTTCTTGGGTTAACTTCTGTTTCCTTATTCAACTTCTGGGTTTTCCCATTTTATTTTTCCAGTGAAAACTCAACTTTTTCTTCTTCCTTTCTTATAAATTTCTTTCTTATCAAGGGAGAAAAATCATATAATATTACATTTACCATCTTACCCATTCAAAGCACCGAATTTGGTCTTATTAAATCTATTCACATTCTTATGCAAAGAATTTCTTTCTACAGCTTTTTCATTTTGCAGAATTGAAACTCTATGCTTACTAAAATCAGATTCTTCTCCCTCTTCCCCAGACCCTGAAAACCACATTTCTTCTTTGTCTTCCTGTACATCCGTGGAGATACCCTTTCGATGGGCATGTCACCTGTATCCTTTCCAATTTGCTATTTGCCTGGTGAATTTACAGGCTGTCAGCTTTGGCATGCAGAGGCTTTTGACTGTTTGTTTAATTTTTTATGTGGTCAAAACCATTTATTTTTTTCTAAATTGGAAATCTGTCATCTCCTCCTAATTATACCAAGAGTATTTGTTCTTATAAAACCTCAAAATATTGAGACATCCAAATGCAGCACACTTATGGCATCCGTTCCACAGCCTTCCAAGAGTAATGGTAATGGTAGAAGCACCTATCACACCTTCCTACCACGAAAGATTTGAGATCAATCTGGGGAGAAGCCCACAGCCTCTGCATTCTCTGCAGATGCATAATTTCATCTTCAGGAAACCTCTGAAATGAGATTTGGTTTCCTCTGGTCTCAAAGGCTTTTCTGTTTTCTTAATCCAATCATGCTTTGCTATAAGTTTCTCTACCTTTTTTTTCCTATTCAAGAAATCATGCTTTACAATGTTGTAGGTAAAAGACATTTTCGTCCTTAGGGAGGACAATTCTGAGAAAAGAGCCATTAAAGGTGCATTACCATCAGTCTGGTTAGTGCACATCTGGACATGTAGAATGGCATCTGCATCTCTTAAAAGAGCTGGGGTACCCCTGGCATGGATGTCCTGTGGAAAGCAGTCTCTGTGTCTCACCACCGGCTCCTGAGTTTGGGCTGAAACACCAGTTTTGAGGTTATGACCGGGTTCAGGAATAGGGAAGCTGTTATTCGCTTCAGCCTTTCACTGCCAGCCCCATGAGCCCGTTCCGCCATATTAGTAAGTGTTCCTCATCTTAAAACACAGCACACACTATTTCCATCCCTTTCAGAAGGGCCATTGTGGGTGCTGTGACTGGATCGGTGCTGAAAGTTCAAGAAACAGAAGTGACTGACCCAGCTCTCCTGCAGGATTTGAAGAATGCACCTCCCACATCAGGCTCTTGACCCCACCTCAGTGTGCCTGTGTCTCAGCCTTGACTGCCAAGGTTTAGTCATTACTGATCTGGGACCGCAGGTACAACTCAGCCTGGAGGTCCAGTCAGGGCAAGGTCCATATTACCTTTGAAGACAGTTAGAGGTGAGTTCTAAGCCTGGAGACCTGGGGGTGGTGACATTGACAGTCTTAGGGTACAGGTGGGTTGGCCAGGTAGGCAGCTTTGCAGATGTCTGGAAGGCCATGGAACTTTTAAGTCTGAACAAGAAAGTGAAGTGCCACCCACCACATGTCCTTTAGGTGTGACAGGCCACACGATGCCACGCTCCGGGCCTCTCTGAACACAGCACTAACAAGAGTGCAAGAGCTCTCGCCTAAGAGCTGGCCTCCTCCCAGGGGTCTTCCTTGATCCTCACAGCAAGACACAATCCATGGCAACTCTGCTACCTCTTGTCAATGGGAGGAGAGTGGGGGAGTCAGGAGTCACACTTGCTGCCTGAGAACCTGCCCTGGGGAGCCATGATCAGAGGCAGCTGAATCCATGCTGTTTGACATGACAAATCCCCTCTGCCCCTTTGTTTATTCTCTTATTCCTTCCTTATCTTGTCTGATTGTTTGAAACTCCCATAAACGCAACCAATCCCCACGCCCCACTTCCAAAGCAAAGCTGCCAGCCTCCAGCACGACACTCCTGGTATTCTATGTTTCCTATTCAAATGCCTTTTTCTTGTGAGTGTGAGCAGAGGTTCCATGACCCAGACCACATCACAGACTGGCCAGACCCTCCACGCACTGGGCTGAGTGTGAGCTCTTCCCCTTGTACAACTCACTCTCAGGATGACAAGGAAGTCGCCATCTTCCTTCCTTACTGCACTGGATCTCTAACCCTT